TATTACATCGGCATCATTCGATGACAAAATAGAAACAAACCCTACTATACTTATCTTAGATGAGAAAAGTTCTGGTATATATTTAGTTCGTATCTCTGCATAATAAGGACATTCAAAGGCAAAATGTATATTGTCTCTATAGCAGAGTTACATAATGGACACATTCTTTGTATTCTTCCAAGTGCTATATTCCGTCCGTAATTAATCATTAGTTTTGACAAGCCAAGTCTGTATTTAATATATACATTTCTTAGGTTACTATTTGTTAAAACTGATAAATATTTTTCTGGCTCTAATAAAGTTTTTAAACGTTTTGTACAATCATAACGTGAACTGTTTTCTAAGTTGGATTGCCATCCTTGATAGAACATATTTATTCCTACTGTACGAAAATCATTTAGAAATATACACAGATCGCGAACAGATTGATAAAACCATACAAAAATCATATCCATATCAGGATAATAGTGTCCGCGATAACCATGAAACCTTACCGATACTATCTAGATGAAAGAGCACGGTATAAGTTATTTTCGGAAGCCGATGTTCTGGCATACGCATGATATTAAACCAATATTTTAAACACTTTAATTGCGAATTAATGTAAAGTGGTTATCTTCCACATTCTCCATATATCATATTACTTGAGCTGCTAATCCAACACAAAGAAACTTTTTATATTCAAGTAGGTGAATTCTTTCTATACATTCAAATCTTGGTAACCCCATACTTCGGATCTATACAATAGAATTGGATGTATTTGGGTATCAAATAACTGAAAAATACATTCGGTGTAATAAGTCCAGGTTTACGTGAAACCGACATCATATTAAGAAAAGCTCTGTTTCCCTCGCAGTGATAAATCAGAAACACATGTGTCCATATTTAGTGTTGAATTAAACATTATACCAAGATATTTGTAATAACCATTAGCTTCATTAATTCGTTGTCGATTTAAGTACCATCTTTCCTGAAAATTTAAAGGGCCCTATTTCTGAATACTATAATTTCTGTCTTACCTAAATATACAGATAAATTATATTCCTTAGTATATTGATCTAATATATTCAACTGATTCTGTAGACCAATAACTGTGTCAGATAGTAGTGGAGGAGTGAGTTAATATTTAACGTCACATCGGCAATATTTCAGCCATATCGTGACGAGAACATATCTGATAATAGAATGAAATATATGTATATTATAAAACCTGCCGACGAAGGGCAGTAAAACAACTAGAATATCACAGATATCAATATAAAACCAGCGAACAAAGCTAAAATATTCCAATTAAAGAAGACAATACAATGTAAAATGGGCTATAGATCGCCAACAACTGAAGGTAGATCACCATACTAGGAACCATGGGGACTTACATTACTTTTGCTACCTGCATGGACCCTAGTTGGATTTACACCATCCCTTCCCAGCCATTGGCGACAGAAGAGAAATCTAGCCAAGCAAATTAAAAGCACACATATTCTACGATTAAAACCTGGTACACTTAAATTGACTTTGAAAGTTTTGGGACTTACGTACCCCCTCAGGAGGACAATAATTTTACGCTACGTCAACCCCTTTGAGGGTACGGCCACTAACAATCTCAGTTACTAATATAAACTACCAACAATAAAATATTTAACTATTTCCAAATCAGTCAACAAATCTAATTTCTTTTAAAATGCAATAATTAAAATGAGAACTGACATTATTAAAAAGATCCTTCAGAGTTTTGGATTTGAAATAGATGTGTCAGATAGTAAAATAGCATCATCGCCATAACGGAACATAAGGATTTCTAGGATGTCAGGATACATCTGTAAATCATGCTTACAGATACTTGAAATTTCATAATACAATCTTCGCCAATGAAAAACAGAAATAACAGAGGACTCCATCATACATCACTGACGTAAGCCGGACGGGCAATCGAAAACATCAGTAACACCATAATCACTACGTACACATGATTTGTCAATCAACACCATAATTTTACAACGATCAACTGTATCAAATGCTTTTAAAATCAATAAAAGCAACGTATACTTTGTGTTTACGACGATAACCATTTCTGAACTACAGCATATAATGCAAAAATGTGATCTATGGTTGAGTAATTGTTTCTAAAACCAGCTTGAACTTCCGGTATCTTATCTCTCATAGTTAGTAAGTCTATTATATTAAAACAGCAGTAAAACTTTCCCTAGAACACTCATTAATGAGATCCCCCTATACTCTGTCAGGGTCTCGGGTCGCCTTTCTTATGTAAAAGGACTATTTCTGAACAAACCAACTGCTAGGAAATATTTGATAATCAAACGTTTTTTGGCAACATTTTGGAGAAATGGAAATTATATCAAATTGGGAACATTTAAGCATCTCTATCAGCACTTGATCTGGCCCGGCAGATTTTCCGTTTTTAAACTTATTTTATTGATGATGTAATTTCATGTTAAGTTAAAGTAGAATTTAGAATGAATGCATCAATATCTGCAAATTGATCTGAAAAGATTTCATTTTAATCATCCAAGTGGGGATTACGCAGACACGAGTCGATTTGGGTAACCTTGACCTTATCCTTCTTCAAGGTCACCATGACACTTTGAACACTTGTCAAACTCTTTGTTAATGTGACATCTCATGGACAGTTGTACCCAGTGTCTTCAATTCGGTGACAGCGTACATTGGGGATTACGCAGACAACAGTCGATTTTGGTGACCTTGACCTCAAGGTCACCACGACACTTTGACCACTTTTCAAACTTATTTAAACGCGATATCTCATAAATCATTGCAACTCCACTGTTTTCAGTTACGTTGATCTGCCTACATTTCGCGATTATGCAGACACCAGTCATTTCCTAAGCTTCTTGTATGTGACCAAAAAATAAAAAGTAGTAAACATAGATATCAATATTCCATTCTTTTAGAGGCGGGGACATTGTCATATCAGTGGCAAACACTTTGTTCTTGTAATGATCTTATCTCTTTCCAAAAGCTAGATTGACTCATTTATGCTTCTATGCAATTTTTCTCCTGATTTTTACATGAAATGGATTTTAAAGTTTCTGCAACAAAATGTATAGTGATTTATTTGTCTGCAATACGCCATTCTGTTAGCGACAGTACTTTGTTTTCTAAATATCCTGAGTGCCCAACGTATTTCTCGTTTCGCTTGTCTACATTCTAGATTTAGTGGGTTTTTTATTAGCAATTTGTGAACCATGTCGGACTGGCTTTTTATGCAGCTAGCAGAGACTGATACAACTCTCGACAAAGTGACTAATTGCCTTCAATAGCATTATCAATTTCCTTCTAGGAGCATTTCTTTGTTTTCAGCAGTCTTAAATCTCAGGTTATCAAGAAACACATTAGAATAAGAATCATTCCATACAAATTTCTCTGATGCTGTTGGATCAATGCATGAATCATTGTTACACCTATTAACCATATTTGGAAATTGACGTATCAATTCTTGTGGGAAGTGATCAGAAAAAGATCGAACTCCGATACTGATCATATTGATAAACTCAAAAGAATCAGGTGAACTTAAAAAATAATTGCTTATACTGGAGTCATGTTGGCTACAATGAGTAAATTCCAATTAATATCACTATGGACTCGTCAATTTTTTAGAAGCATAGCATAAATAGAACAACATTTGGTCAAATCTATTTACAACTGTATCCTGTGAAGTACGATCTTCAACAGGGTCATCATCCTCATCAGGGAAGGGGGTAGTATGCCTGAGGATATCGTCGTGCTAATAGCAGGGTTATTTCTGTCACTTGTTCTCGCGTTCATATCTCCACAGATTAAATTATATGAATCTGGAAACATTTCATAATTATCTAACAAGAATTTGTCTACTTTTACAATATTACGCTTAGTGGTTACATGGTTATAGTATGGTGACCCCGATGGAGGGACATAGGTACACAACAAATTCACATTTTTGTCAATTCTAAATATGTCTTTAATTAAAGAGAGACCAATTATGTTGTCCCTGTCTGATTGTATAACATTATAGAAACTCATCAGTGTTTGACGTACATACAGACAAATACCACCTGATAAACGTCCGTAGTTGGATAACTTAACTGCAGGACAATAGAAAGTATCATACCCATGTAGCCAGTTGTTTCCTGAATATTTACAACAAATGTCTCAACAAGGCACACAACATCAAATTTGCTAACATGAAATAAAAAGTCAACATCATTTATTTTGCTGACAAGACCGCCAACATTCGAGGCAATCGCGCATTGCATCGACTATAACCATCAGTCACTACACGGTTCAGCTCATCAGCTCACTTAGAAAACAGACCCGATGGGACACAGCAGAGCAACCCTCTGTCAAGATGAAGTTCTAAAGTACTGCCAGCGGGACACACCTTCACTTCCATCCTTCCAACCTTATATGTTCTTCATGCCAGAGTTAGATAATCATCCCATATATACTTCATAATATGCCTTCACATGACCAGCTGCACTATTGCTTCATCCGGCACTATTGCTTCTTATTCCATTCAAGATCCGTGTTCAGTGCATCCTACAGAACTCCCTTTGTCTACAGAAATATTCAAGACAGATTTGGAGATGGCAATAATGGCGACTATCCAAATGGAGTTCCTTTGATGCAGAATGGATGCATTTCAGACTTTTCACAAGACGTAGGCGAAAGGTTCGGAAACTTTTATCGGAAGATCCAGAGGTTGCAAATGGATCCGTTGTTCCTCTGCCTTACCACCAGTGTACTCAACCACGACGTGTGATTTTAAACTGTCTGACACATAAGTACTTCAAAACCGCATACCAAATAAGATCCAGTAACTGAATATACTTTACATTATTACTATTCCTACATAGATAACATAACGATTATGTAATTTCACTTTATACTTATTCCTGTCACTGATAATTGAAAATCATGAGACCTGAAACATTAACATGTGAATCACCTGAAAAAATTCGAGTACCATTCTCACATACCCTTTTTGAACGTTTCTGGACATTTAATGCCATCCGTTTTTTTCGCTTAGATATGGCACAGTTCTTCGGCTTGATCTGATTGAAATTCTCCGGTTTAACTGGGATATCAGCAGCAGCTCTGGCAGTGCATGTCAGTTTACTATCTTCTACATGTACAGTAATGGAGTAAGGGCTTGTAGTGTGACAATCCATCACGGATGACATCTGGGCTGAACAAGTTGTTTTCCTCATTAACCCTAAAATAACAAAGAGAAGATAAGGATTTTGTATTTGCAACAGTGATCGCTTGAAAAATAGATTCGTTAGGGCAGGTTAGATATTTTTAGCCTATTAACAGTAAAACCATATCAAAAGAGCTGACATTACTGCCCGCGATAATAGATAGAAATGGGGTGTGTTTGGTTGAGGTGTCACAAGAGACTGAAGAAGAAAAGACATTGCACAAGAGAGATAGGATAAGCATTTTAAATGGACTAGTTACGTTTTATTTTGTTCTTACGAACCTGGAGCGGACATGCACTGAAAGAAAGTAGCAAATGAGATCGATTCTTGTGCCAGTGGCCATTCTTCAAAAGGCCGGAAAACAGGATCAACCCCTACCGAAGAACAGCATGGTTGTTGTCATAAGAAAAGGTATGTAATATATATGATGCTTCTTGTTTCCATGGTTACATGAGCAAAATATGCTTCACTTTAAACATCTGGTTTTCACTTAAACATCCACTAATATATTATTTAAAGGGTACAAATCTTATCTTTTAAATGTTCTCTATTGTTCATCAGTACTAATCATTAACTCTTTTGAAGCCCCCTTTGATGAACATAATGAGTTATTTAATGCATCAGTTAATGCAGAAAAATTAAACATTCAGTTTGTATGAATTATAAATATTTGTCAGAAGGACACAGAAAGCGCTGTTTACACTCATATGATAGCACATGTAGAGGGCAATAACTTTATCCGGTGGTGTATTCTATCATTATTAACTGTGACTTGGTCAAATAAACATTTTCAAAAACAGTGTCCATTCATAAAGCTTCAATCACGATTTTATGTGCGCTTTAAATTTGGCAATGAGAGTGATTTCTCCTTCTGCTGTCTAATATGGAGGATTAGTGATTTACATTTATCTCCTCAGCTGTTGACAAGTTCGACAAATTTAGCCATTACACTTAAAACAAGCAGGATACATGGTTGACCGTTATTCTCTCACCACAAGCGATACAAAACGGAGGGTCCTGACCTTTCATAATTATTCATGTGAATATCGCGTATGGCCAAACAACATCATCGAATAATGACCCTTCAAAACAGGATTGATAACTCCGCTAAGTGTAACCGAGCACAGTGGTGTAGTGGTTAACATGCTGGCCTCTCATGCCAAGGGCCTGGGTTCTAATCCCGGTGGAGACACAAAACTTTGTGACCTGGGTCCCATACTGTGTTGTGTCCCTGGGCAAGGCACTTCGTCCGCATTGCACTCAGTCCACTAAGCTGTTCCAAATAGTTACCTGAGAGGCGGATGTACGGACGTATACGGTCGCGCGAAGCGCTTAGTATAACAGCTTTGAAGGTACAATTCCGTGAGGGTAATAATGTAACGCCAGAGAGCAGTATCGTGTTGGATTCGAGGCGAAGAAATTAGCATTATCATGTTTTGCAGATTAAAGATAGAGTGCAGCAGAGAGGGTTAATCCTGGCAAAGCCAGGGTGGTAAGGCTCATCATCAGCTCAGGCCCTCGTCCCTCTACACGCAGCCCAGACAGCGAATGGTACTCTCCCAGGAAACACTGCTTAGTCGAACCCACCAAGAACTTTCCGGAGAATTTGAAGGCCCCCTGAACACAGCAGCCTTCTGCATTACCCAGAGTGTCAGAAGGGCTGTGCTCCATGTGGAGAACCCGGCACTCTCCATATCTGCGCTAAGAGATCAGGAGGTACTTAAAACCAAGGGCACCCAGAACAATGGGGAGCCTGACGGCAGTGTACTTGGGATGCAAGCGAGACATTTCAAAGGCGAGGTCCGCATATTTATCATGCTTTTCCTGAATCTTGCCATTCACGTTGCTGTCAAAAGGGACAGAAAATTCAATAATATAAATGAATTCATTGCCTTTATCAAAAAAGCAAAAGATCAGGTTTGTTTCCAGGAATTCTTTTCGTACCATGGATGGACTCCTCGGAGTCAAAGCCACAGATATGGCCGGTAGTAAAGCGACGAGTTTTCTTGAATCTGGGCATTCTGGAGCTTGTCTCGAACTTGCATTCCAAGATAGGCCTGATCTTCCACAAGATGCTCAATAACTCCTCCCCTTGTAACCTGACCGATCCATCATTAGTTACCTTGCCACGTTTCAGATGAAGCGTATTACATTTGTCAAGTCCAAATGTCATGCCAATATCATCAGAAAAGGATTCGACAAGGAGAACCTGCTCTTTCAAATTGGTATCTCCGTTGGCAAGGAGCTCGATGTCATCCATGTTAAGGAGATGAGTAAGCGGTGTTGGGGATCTGCACCTGCCCTTGCGAGAACATCTCAAGTTGAGTCGACCAGTAACTCATTAAAGACTTGAGAATTATTAACCGATAGTTGGTTTAATTTGACGTAATTTATTGATACCTACTTGGGTGTCCCACTTTTTTTACATCATATCACGAATGTGAGGTTTGTGAGTATGGAAAAAGAATTGGTGTCGCTGATTTGTTGAGTGCTGCCTTTGCAGGAAAATGGACCATTGTGTTCCCAGATATACCAACAGAGGGCGTATTGCCCATTATATGATTCAATAATTTATATTAAAAGTGGTTGTTTGCAACATAGGTTTTTATTGGCCTGAAGGTACGAAAGAGTCTGAATAACTCATATATTATTCATATTTGGGGTGTTTATTCATATGTTTTAAGGCTCTTAATATAGCGTTAGCTTCGGCTGCGAAAATTGAGCTGTAATCTGGTAATCGAGAATATTTTGTTTTGGATTCAATGACAGTGACACGAGCAGCTGCGCCACAATCCTTGGTTTCATCTGTAAATAAGGATTTGTATGTATTATATTTTACGTTTTAATTGATTATATTCTTGTTTATCTTATAATTAGGGTGTAGGGGTAGCCTAGTGGTTAAAGCGTTGGCTCATCACGCCGAAGACCCGGGTTCGATTCCCACATGGGCACAATGTGTGAAGCCCATTTCTGGAGTTCCCTGCCGTGATATTGCTGGAATATTGCTAAAAGCGGCGTAAAACTAACCTGAGTCAGTCAGTCAGTTATCTTATAATTAATTTATTTCCGATTTTTAAATGTTGTCAGTGTTAGGTCAACCTCTGGTCTTATCAATTACCAGCAGCAGAGAGGAAAGGTTTGACTCTTGGTCTCAGAGGCCCAACAAGAGAAGGCTTTTTGTTGTGCAGATCCTTATAGAGTGGATTAAAAACACAGTTAAAAGCAGGAATTGACTCATTAGAATATAGTGTTATATCCTGCAAGATCTAAAGGACCCAAAACAAAGTCTTAGACTTGGTGGTGGATAGAAACTTATAGTTATATGTTGCTTATAGTTTTAGGTTGCTTTTGCAGGCTCCATCATTTACGATCGTTGTAAATGCATAAGTTATTATGTGAAATGGAATTTACCTAATTTTTCTTGTATGCACACTGCCCCATAGTGGATTGTTGACATTCAAATCGCCGATAATGATGCAAGAATTTGGAAGATGGATGTACAGCGCTTGAAGGTCAGCTTGTTGAAGTGTCAATGTTGGAGGAATGTAAAGGGAGCACAAAGTAAAATCAATGTGCATAGTTAACCGAACTGCAACAGCCTGAAGACTGATATGAATTAAAACAGGGCTGTTGATCACACCCTGCCTTAAGCCGGACTCACACAGGTCGGCCCATCGAAATGATATGCCGAATTCGCCTGAGTCGTATCGTCCTAGTGATAAATCAAATTCAACAAACGGTACAAATCGACCGCTCGAATCGACGTCGATTGTGTCGCGAGTGTGTACAGCCTGTTCTAGTTAATCGGCCAGCCTGGTTCCCTGGGTCTGTTACGCCTGCGCTAACACCTCCGCTAGACAGGAATCTTAACCACCAACTTCATTCCCGCATATTAGTCTCCTGCTTTTTATCTTTGGGTCGACTTTCAATAAAAGATCCTGAAAACCTTCTTTTCCCATGCGAAAGAAATGTTGGTACGACGGTTCTTCTTTTCCCATGCATAAGAAATTTTGGTACGACGGTTCATCTTCAGTTTCAAGTTCTCTAACGAGATGGCCATATGCTCCATGCAGATCGCGACGGAGAATCCAGTCTTTCGTCCAACAACTTCTCTTTTCTTTGCTTTGGCATTCCTGTCTTCTTCACATAAGATCATGCAACAGATAACTGCTGCTACATCTGCCTCGGAAATTTTGAAACCATGGAAACAGAAACAGATATTATGAGATCGATACTAGCATCGGCAGATCGAATCGTGTGAGAGGTAGCAAATTGATCCGTCGCTATTAGTTACAGCCACCGAACATGTTGTACACTCACCAGTGTGAGTCAAACTTTACTAGAAGATCCACTAGTAGCTTTATTCCCTGGTGGAGGGAATGAATGGTAGGCAATATACTGACGTAAATCAAAGGTATCCGTTTCCTTGAGATATGTCTCCTGGAGACATCTTGCTGTAGGCTTATAATCTTGTATTCATCACTGAGATTGGTTCTGACACCTCTGCAATTCCATTGAATTAGTGAACTACCATGTTATAGGTGGTTTGTACTGGAGATCTATTTTCCTTTCTACGCGAAATACTTTTGTTGCGCCCATGGGTGGAAGAGAGACGTCTAAGGTTTGGTAGCGACCTCTAAGGTTTGGTAGCGATTTTGTATCCGCACAGGGTACTGTCTACTATCTTCAGACTGTGTACTATCGCGTTGACCCTTTGGTACACGATCTGAATGATTAGAATGATCAAGCTTTTTGTCTTCTTCACAAGAGGAGGTGGTTTTGGTACCGATCTTGGTTACACTACTGGAACCACTGCCGACATTAAGATAGAAGGATCTTTTGTTTGTGATGAAGAACTGGATCTGGTTGATTGGAGACAGGGTTTAACCATGGTTTGGATGAGAGGACTCAATCCACGTGAATTCGGTCTGGCAATCTACTGACTGACATGAAACCGATATAGAAGCTGAAGCTCGAGTTAAGGGAGAAGTAGCAGCCGCATGAGATGGGCCCG